AACTGAGCCACCCAGGTGCCACTATCAAAGTAAGCTTAGTTGATGCTTTTACTCTCTTCTGAGGTGATGAAAGGACCTTGGAATACTTGGACACTCTTAACTCTCCTCCCAACTTACATGCTATTATTGTCATATATTTCAAGTCCTCTATATTTTTTAAACTACATAAGTCATAATAATTGTTGTTTATAATTATTTATAATTGTAAATACATAAATATTTATAAATACATAATAATTTATGTTTACTGAAATTTTTACTGTTTCTTTTATTCATCTTCCCATTCTTACTCTCTGAATTTCTATTTAGTATCACTTTCCTTCTTTCAGAAAAATATATTTAAGGTTTTATTTACTATGGATCTTCTGGTAGAAAATCCTCACCATTTTTGTTTAATTCATCTTTATTATGGAAGGATATTTTGATTGGGTATAAAGAATTCTAGATTGGTGCATCCGTTCATATTATTGCTTTCAGGCTTTCATTGTTTCTATTGAGAGAGCATCTCTCAGACTGCTCTTTCTTCAGTGTAATCTCTTCTTCCCCTAGATGTTTTTCCTCTTTTTAATTGTTATTCTTCAGTTTTACTACGATGGATTCAGATGTACATATCATTTTATTTGTCCTGAATCTAATCATATAGTTTCTTAAACCCGTGATTTGTTGTCTTTTAGCAGTTTTTGAAAAAAAAGTCACCCTTTATCTCTTCAAGTATTGATTCTTCCCATTTCTCTGATGTCTTCCTGGCACTGCAATCAAATGTGGATTAGACCTTTATATTCTTTCTTCTGTGTTTTTCGCATTTATCTCCTCACATTTTGCTTAGATCTTCATCTGAAGTTTAGATATTTTCTTCCAAGCTCTTTCAATTCACCAATTCTTTCTTCATTTGTGTGTAAATTACTGTTAATCCACCCACTGATTTCTTAATTTTGGTTGTATTTTTTACTTGCAAAATTTACGTTTGGATAAGGGGTTTTTGGAGGAGTCAAATGTGCTGTTATTTTTTGTAGTTTCCAACTCATGAGCTAAATTATTTTATTTTATTTTATTTTATTTTTTATCTCTTTGAACTTAGCGAGCAGGTTATTTTAAAACCAGTGTCTTATTAATTTAATATCTAGTGGTCTTACGGTTCTGTGTTTATTGTCTGTTGTCTCTACTGATTGTCTTTATGCTGACTAATCTCCTTATATGCCACATTATTACTGACTGTGTACCACATATTGTATATAAAAATTTGTGAAATGCCAATAATCCTATATATTTTTCCAATCAATGATTTTACCGCAGGCCACATGGAGAGTTTATCCAAATCCTAAACATTTACAGATTAAAATAGATATCTAGGTATATCTAAAAAGGAAATTGCTGAATATAAAAATTAAAGCTGGAGTAAGCTGTCTCTTTTTTTTTCTTGTGATTTTTTTAAATAGTTTAAGTTTCTGCTAATCATGTCAAACTCTCCTTTTTTTTTTTCTTAACTATTCCCCATAATTGAGTCAGCATGTATCCATTTCAATTATTTCAGTTGTATATGACAGAGAAATCTAAAATAGCTCAGGACTAGAATTTACTAGAAAGTTATCAAAGACTCAGGATCCTTCCAGTTCATAGCTCTGCTATCTACAGAATGTGATTCTAATACTCAAGGTCCATATGGCTGCTAGAGCTTCAACATCACATCTATATTCCAGGGAGACACAATATTTTTGTTTACATTTTATTGGCTAGAACACCATCACATCAACCTAGAAATATAGTCCATGACCTGTGTAAAATGTGTGTTCATTCATGAAAGTGAAAGAGGTGAATTAATATTAGGTGTTAACAGTCTGTGCCTCAAAGGACCATGGATTAAGAAACAAAGAGAATTGTAGTGCATTTACTATAAAACTAAATTAGGTTGTGAAAATGTAATATTTTCCAGGTTATTTATCCCTAATGCAACCAACAGCAAGGAGGGCATCATGAGAAAAGAAATCAAGGCTTGAGAACCTGAGTTGGAGAAAAAAATTATTTGAAAAAGTAAAAAAAGGAATAAAAATGTATGGGCAAAACGAATAGGTGACGAGTGACTTTCCAGGCAGCTTGATACAGTTTAGAAAACTTGTAAATTAAATACCAAGCTCATATTTTTCAGATGGAATATTTTTGTACTATACTGTTGGATGTGCAGGAATCAGAACACCTTAAAAGGTATGCCTATCACTTTCAGGATGAATCCTTTCAGAAAAAAAATGCTCAAAACTCATATCTACCTCTTAATTAAACACATGACAATTTGATTTCTCACTCATGAAATCTTTTCTCTAGACCATGTCCAAAATAGCACTTTGGCTGGCTAGGTTTGTGAGGCATTATTCATAGCACCTGCCCTTGTGGAATTCTAGGGGACTCCAGAGGATTTTATGCAAGTGATGTCAAAGGGTAACACAAGATGTTTTGTAAAGTAGGTTAACATAAACATTTTCAAATAATTACTTGGTTTGGAGACTACCTACTCACTTAACATATTTTCCAATAATTCTTATATTTGGTAAACTCTCTTCCTGAGCCTCAAATTGTCATACATATTTATGCTGTTAATTTTCCAGTGACTATTCTAAAATATGTCAGTGTTGATCGATGGATCTAAATTCTAAATGCTATCATGTTTTAAAATGCAAATCTGCATTGCACAATGTCCCTTGCCTTCTTTTTCTTTCAGGGCATTCTTACCTCTGGTCTGTGCTTTGCAGTATTACAGCTTGTAATAATCTGCCTCTGATGCTAGAAACCAAAGTTAAGAAAATCCATTTAATTCAACAACAACAACAAAGTCTTGGGGAAAAAAAAGAATGTACTTTTTCCTTAGTTCATTTAAAAGCAAATGAAAGTTTAGCTCTCAGGAGGGAAGAGATAGGTCAGGCTGTCTTTTGCCCACTTGCCAGATGATGCTAACAAGCCATTGTCTTTCCCCACTCAGGCATGAATGCCTGAGAACTCTTTTTCCTCTGCTTACCATTGCCTTAACCAGCAATACTCTTCTCAGACAGCAAGATACCTGAATGTCTAAACATTTATCTATACTAATACAGGCCCATTCCATGTGAATGCCTGCCAGGCAGGAACTAGGCTGTCAGCTTCATCCCATCAAAAAGACTTTCAGTCCCAAGGACTGATGGCAGGTTCCAATTGTTAAGTCATTCTTGCTTGAACTGAATTTTAAAGTCAGGCTCCTACTGTTAAAGAATGGAGCTCAAAGAGCGCATTTAGCCAGAAATGTTGCAATTCTAAATATAATACTCTTGGCTATGGATTTTGTTCTTGTTGTCATTATTTTTAAAATTTGGGTACTGAGTGAAACTCGAGGGCAGCAAATAATGTGGAAGGGCAACCAATACTGCATAATAGTTCTTGTTTTGGTACATTTGCTTTGTAGTGATTTATTAAGGGAGACTGAAAAAGCCTGATTAAAATGCATAAACAGTGCTGAACAGTAAACAACCATGTCTAAGGATGAAAAAATGGGACCCACATGCTGTGCATGGAAATTGCCCTTAACAACATGGCCTATTGTTGAATAGATAGGAAGCCAAAGGTTGCTTGTAATCAAATTTGAAGTTTCCCATCACTTATAAAAGCAACACTTCCTTGTGCAAACGTTTCAATTTGTTGTAGTTAAAAACTGCTTCCTGACTTAATCCGTACAGAAACCAGGAACTCTTTTGACTGTCAGGTGGAGAGAAAAATTTAGAGAGCCCACTAGACTCAAAAAGACTAAATGAAACCAAGTTTGTATGTTGAGGGAGAAATTACATCTAAAGAATTAACAGGAGCAAATTGAAGCAGCACAGAGCTCAAGATTTTTTTTTTTTTTTTTTTTTTTTTAGTATTTCATTTAAACAGGCAAAAAGGAGTTCGATGGCTTGCCTAGGTGCTCACATCACTTCTTTCTGTCACTCAGAAATAAAACAAATGTTAAAGAAAATTTTTTAAAAAATGGCTCACTACAGCCTGAATCCAGCCTATGGGGAAAGACTCAAAGAGAAAAATCATTAACAACATCACAAGACTGATACAATGGCTGAATTGCATAAGTATAAATTATTATATGATAATTCCTAAAATTTATGGTTTGAAGAATGATTGTTAATGAAAAAGATAAAAAAAATAACTGTAAACTTTTAAGCCATGTTTATGCTTCCACTGTATGGATACGGTAGAGGATAAAGAAAAATAAAGAAGGAAGTTTAATTTCTTTTTAAATACTATTTGTATTATAATCTATAGTGTCTTAAAGTGGAAAGCACTTTTAAACTGCTTTAATACCTTTCTCAAAGAAAGTTAAAGAATGAACAAAAAAGTCATTTTCCATCCCCTTAACCAAATATGCCTGTAACAGCAATTAAAAAACAATTCACAAGTCTTTAAAAAGATTCTTAAGTAATAAGTCATGAAAAAATTCATAAGTCATAAAGTCTTATGCTTAAGTATTTAGGTCTTTTTCATTTTCCGGTAATAATATGGTAATGAGCATCCTTATACTATAATCTTTTATACCTTTCTCATTATTTATCTGGCACAAATTTCCTCACATACAATTTCTAGATCATGGGGCATGAAAATTTTACTTATTGGAAACTGGCCTTCCAGAAAAGTCTCACCATTGTTCATCCTACTAGTAGTACATGAAACTATATTGAAACCATCACTTGGTGTTATTTCTTCTTAATATGTGCCAAATTAATAAGTGAAAATGGCATCTTTTAAAAATAATTTGCATGTCTTTGACACACCTTTTAGAATTTTAATAATTCTCATGATTTTTTTCATTGTTCTTCCTGTATGAATTATCTCTTAATAATGTCTGATCCTTTCATAGGGCAGTGGGAAGATTAAATGAGGTAATTCATATAAAGCACTTAATAGAGTGATTAGAAAATCTGAAGTGTTTAATAATAGTTAATGAGTTTTAGTTACCGTTATGGGTATTGATTTGTTTTCTCTTATTACAGATACAAAGGTGGTCAGTAAGGAAACTCAACTTAAACAAAGATGGCATTGAGCATGTAAATGAAGATATGTGCTTAATAGTAAAAGTAAAATTATCCTTTCCATAAAGAACATGAAATTACAAATCTATGGAGAGAAGAAGTTCTTGGTAAGTAATTTATTCATGCTTCTCCTAATCCCTGTAACCACCACAAGCACTTCCCTTTACCTTAGGAACAGAGCCATGAGTCCAAGTTTCCAGTGCACAGAGGTTTGGGGGTATTTGTTATCCTGAGAACTGCTCTGTGGACCACTTAGGCATGTATGCAGGGGGATACAAAGCTGCCAGCTATGAGGAAGGAAATGCAAGTATGGGCCAAGTAGGACCTCAGCGGCCAGGATCAACAACAGAAGGAGCATCAAAGGGGCTCTTACTCTACCTCAAAACCAGAAAGTAGGCTTTTCAGTACATTAAGAGAGAGTGGCTAATTTTTCCTAACGTCATGAGTATAATTTCCAATTTGGCAATAATTGCAATCATCCTGCTAAACTAAAACTCCCTGCCTCTAAACTCTTGCCTCACCCATCCCTCATTACATTGCTACAGATGTGTCATCCGAAACAGGATGGATTATGCTCTTTCATTTTAGAATACTTTAATCTCAAAAAATAAAAAAAAATAAGCTCTTCCTCCACCTCCATACTGTTGCTCATGAAAGTAAGTGTTAACCATTAGCATAACATCCAAGACCATCCTCCATCCAGCCCTAACCTACCTTTTTCAGCAACAACTCCACCTCATTTTTCTGTGCATCCTGTGCCCCCAGTACTAGTCTGCTCACCATTTCTCAACATCACCATGAGTGTTCATCCCTCCAAGGTTTTGCTCATGTTAACTGTTCCCTGGGCCTGGAATACCTTCTCTCCCTTTTCTGTTGACAGAGAAGCTGCATATTCTTCCAAGTTCTACCCAGATCCTTTCCATCGAATTTAATCACTCCTTCCTCTGTAGTCTTTTTTTTTTTTTTTAATGTTTATTTACTTTTGAGAGAGCATGAGCAGGGAGGGGCAGAGAGACAGGGAGATTGGAGGGTCTGAAGCAGACTCTGTGCGGACAGCAGAGAGCCCGATGCGGGGCCCGAACTCATGAACCATGAGATCATGACCTGAGCTGAAGTTAGACACTCAACCAACTGAGCCACCCAGGCACCCCCTTTTCTCTGTAGTCTTAATACACAATCTATTTGGCACATTTCCTTCTGCCTTGTATTATTGATGGTTATTTACACAAATGCTTTTCTCTTTAGATTATAAGCATGCAAGAAACAGTGATGATGTTTTAATCAAGTTTGATTTCCCCACAGCCTAGCACAATAGTTCACAAAAAAGAAATGCCTGCCCAGTAATTGTTTTGTGAATTGGACTGAATATTCAATTACCAGTTTGAGTTGCTTTCTATATAAATATGACAAATATGTCTATGGGAAATGGACACTCCCCATTAGTTCCAAAGTAGAGTTGCCAGATAAAATACAGAACACATGGTTAAATTTGAATTTGAATTTGAATTTGAAATTCAAATTTAACTGGATGTCCCATTTTTTATTTGCTAAATCTGGCAACTTTAGTCCAAACACATGCCAGTTTCACCACTGTCAGGGTTAACTCCAGGGCAAGAGTGAATTAGTGTGGGCGTAAATCTCTTCCCATCCAATTCTGCTGCAGTGATGTGTATACATAGCTACCATGAATCCTCTTCACGTGATAATACTTTTTTTAAAAGGCAGAAGAACAAAGGTAGTCATTTATAACTTATCCTTACTTTCTCAAAAATATAGTGGATATTTGAGGAACTCAAGAGAATAGTTCCAGGTATTAATACAAATTCTTCAAATAGCTGGTTGTTCTGATTAACAAGATTGCAAGGCAAACCTTTGAGGTCCCTGAGACATTCTGTTTTTGTATCATCATCTGGGACATTTCTTCACACTGCCCTTGGTCTCTTTTATAATCTCTCTCGTAGCCCAACCACAATGGGGTCATTGTGTGGACTCTTCTTGTGGCAACCTTCCATGCTCAGCCCTGAGGATCCATGTCTGTCCCAGGTTATTTGATAACATCCTCTAACTTTACCCCTCTCCTGCACTCACGTCTCACCCCCACCACTTTTCTGGTTTCCTAGGCAACAGTTTTTTGGCCTAATAATAAACTGATGCTTGCCGGTATACAATGAGAGGAGATCAATAGAACCCTCAGGATTCTCATTTGTTTCTAGATAACATCTGCAGTTTAACCTTCTGGGGACAATTCCTGGCTCTTCCAAAATTATCTGATCAAAGAAGGTTGGAATTTCCTGTAGGAGTGGGTGATGTGCTCTGAGAGGGAATTATTTTTTGGAGCAAGAAACCTTGCAGTATCCTTCAAATCAAATTATGTGAGCAGCTGTCTGCTGATGAGTTAAGCAGAACCTCTTTTATTTTAGGAAATATAGTGTGTTCAGACCTCACCATTTTGACTACAATGTAATTTTCTATTTATTCAAATGACATCTAAGTTGAGCTCCTAGTTGCCCATAAGAAACTTTAGAGCTCTTCAGAAGGGCACTCTTATTGCCTCCTCCAGCCCTTTAGAGAAGATACCCCTTACTGTCTTCAAGCCCAGCCTCCATTGAATCTCTGTTCCTCTGACTTCTGCAGACAAATCTCCCAGGAGCCCATGGCTTCACTGGAAAAACACTCCCACAGAACCCCAGACACATTTAAAGTAACACAATTGATTAATTGCAGAGAATATGTTTCTGGCCATGCAACATATTGAAAAAGCAACTGTCATTAGGATAAAGCCAATGACTTTGGCCACTTTTTAGCAACTGCAGTTTGGTCATTCACACAAACCATTAACATATGTGAAGGAACCTGTAGGGAAATTGTGCCTGCTGAATGAAGCAGAACAGAGGCTGTGCTTGGGTTTTCAGAACACCTTCTGACAGGAGAGTGGACAGCCTTCTATCTGCCCGCATATTGCTCCACACTCTAGAGTTGTGAAGGTCAGCATTGTAACATGTGCATTAGGACTCTGGTTGCTGGTATGTGAAACCAACTGTAGCTGGCTCTTCAAAAACAAAAATGAGGGCACCGGGGTGGCTCCATTGGTTAAGCCTCCAACTTAGGCTCAGGTCATGATCTGGCGGTTTTTGAGTTCGAGCCCCACATCAGGCTCTGTGCTGACAGCTCAGAGCCTGGAGCTGCTTCAGATTCTGGGTCCCTTTCTCTCTGCCTCTCTCTGTCTCTCTCAAAAATAAACAAACATTAAAAAAATTTTTTTTAAATACAGAACACAAAAATAAAGAGAAATATATCATAAAGATGTAATGATTCAAGGGAGTGCAAGGCAATTCAGGAGAATTCTCAGACTTTAAGGAAAGGAGAGGCTAATGGGTACTGAAAATGGGAATCTCCAGAAAATTCATAATCCTGCCTCTCAGCTCACTTTCTCTCTGTTTTCCATTCCTTTTTCTCTTCTGCCATCAGTTTCTTCTACTCCCAAATCTTCATGGAGATTTGACCCACTATAATGTCATCAGTACCATAAATATAATAAAAATTTTCCTTGAAGGGTGGAGTTATATTTCTCAAAATGGCTGCCAGGGGCCCAGCCTCACTTAGATGGGAGGGAAGTAAAGGAGTCATTGCAAGCTGGACAAACACTACAAAAGCCGTGGACTGCAAGCAGTCACATCCACCATTTCCCTGGTGTTTGCCTGACTAAAACAAACCTGGAAGAGGAAAGAGTGAAGATGCTTGATACCTGGTTATATGTTGATGTTAAGCTGACAACAAAGCAAATTTAAAATGGTAGTAAAGCATACTCAAAAAATTGTAACTCAAAAAATGGAATGTACCATAGCATATATCAGAAACTCCTATCCCACAAACTCTAACAGTGCACTTATCTGTCTTCTCTGATCCCTAAGCAGGATACCTCTTAGAAATAAAACTTAGTTTAAGTGATTTAAAATAACATCATTCCATCTGGGCTCATAAAGGGTTTTTTGTTTTGTTTTGTTTTTTTGGTGTTTTTTTTTTTGTTTTTTTTGTTTTTTTGTTTTTTTTTTTTTTTTACTCTCAAATTACTGCTAGTTTACTATTGGCAGAGTTTGGACCTCCTGCATAAGTAAATTTCCTCAGTGCAATCAGATTTCATTCAAAATACTGTCAAAAGAAGTGAAAACCCATCTTATAAAAAGTAACTTGTGAATGCCATTCAGCTCTGTGATAGGGAACTAATAATAAATATGAATGAAGTCTTGCTTACTCAGTGTTTCTCCTCACTTTTATTCTTTCCTTTAGTGCCCCTTTCTCTAATGGTAATACCTTCTAGTTTTCTCTTACAGTCATTTCCAAGGCATTTTTGTGCACTACTGTAATAAAAAAACAGTACATTCCTCCAAATTATGTTTATTTATTTACTAAAATATATGCATTATAAAGTGAATAAATGATGAAAATTTTATAAGGTGATCTACAATAAATATAAACAGAAGTGCTGGTATTTTCTGTCTCTGCCCCAATGATCATCTTGTGTGCTGGTCTATAGTCACAGGACAGCTAGTACTTCTAAGTTGAATTGTTGTTAGTGAATTATTTTTCATGACCTAAAGGACACTCATGAACTTTAGATACAGGGTGCTCTTGGTTGACATTCATCTTAAAATGAATTCTCCAAAGCTAAACTTTTCACTGCATGTCATGAAAATTGGTCCACAGTACCAAAAACTACTGAATGGGTGTAAAAGTGACCGTCATCAAACCAGCAAAGTAAAACACACACACACACACACACACACACACACACACACACACACACATTAGATAAAGTTAGATATGATGGTGTGGCGGGTGGGTGGGGCTTTGACAGTAAAGCCACCCACACTAAGTAGGTAGAACAGTAGCTCAGACTCTGGCTGACTGAGACCCACAGGACCGCAGTAGAAGAGAAGAAGGGAAGCCGGTTGGATAATGATGCTCTCCAATGAGCAAATTCTCTTGCTTTGTCTTTACGTTCTTTCCTTTTGTCCACCCTCAGACACTGAGACCCTGAAGTGATGCTGACTCTGCCAGAATTTCAGACCAAAAGGAAATCATGGGAGGCAGTAATAAATAGAC